CGGATACGTATTTCGGAAACAATGTTACCATTATCAACGCTAAACACATACTGACACCCCGACTAGAAAAAACTCCCTTATATACCACTAGTGACCTTATCACCTAGTGACGTCATCACTAAGTAATATTATCACATTTTGCCAGTTTACACAAGTTTAATAATGAATTTTTTAGTGGGCCAAGATCCCAATTAATTAAATTGTTTTTATTTTTAAATATTTCTATACATACTGTATGTGTTTAGAGTTGATAATGGTAACATTGTTTCCGAAATACGTATCCGCGACTTTTCATTAATTTTTTGTGGCTTTGAATATAATATTTTTAGTTTTTTAAATTAATAATATTTTTAATATAGTTTTAATTTTACTTTAGTATTTAATTTACAAGTTTTAAAATTATATAAAACATTTGTTCTTCTATATAACATCTAAAAATAATGCAAAAATTTTGTAGTAATATTAGTGTTTATTAATTGTATATTTTTTTATTAATGCTCATTTTTAAAATTATTACCTTTCTTCATCAAACATTACATTAAAAGTCTATGTACTAATGTCTTCTACAATTGATTNTTACACTAAAAGTCTATGTACTAATGTCTTCTATAATTGAATCTCTTATTCTATTTACACATATTTCAATCATTTAATTTTGAATATGATGACTAGTGTAAGTTGTTTCTTTGTTGAATATTTCAGAAAACTTAGGTATATGCTTGGAAAATAAAACACAAGTTTTGTTGAAATTTCCCAAGAAAAATTATTTATTAAAAAATTAATAATTATAACTTCTCAGTTTTAATTATTTATTATAAGATGATTAGATTACTTAAATTAGTTCCCTACGTTGATTTAATGATGAATTATTTTTATTTTGTCAGGCCTTTCTTTGGATACTCAATAAATTGTTATCTTAATTAGACTTTTCATATATTCCCTATTAGCAGCAACTTTTAGTTTAGATTGAGTTATTAGCTGGGTATGAACAATGTCAGTTTTTTAACAGTTATTTACAAGTTAAATGAGTTT